CCCATCTGCTGCCCAAGGTCAATCACCCGCAGTATGGGCCCCCCTCCTTCCTACTGGTCCAGACAATGAAGAGACCAACGCAGCAGCCCTCGTGTGAGACTCGGCGGGACCTTGCGACTCCCCCCGGGAAGAGTGTGCCCCTGGGGGGACCAGCACCTCCCACCCCGGAGAGTCCAGAGCTGCAGACACAGGGAGAACGAACCCCACAGTCGCCCCTGGAATGACGAGAAGCGGGGCTCCCCCTTCATTCCTTGGACCTGCTCAGCTCTCCCTCCTTTGGAACTCAGCCCTGAGGGGTCTCTGCTGTAACAGCTGCACCCCACGGACGGCACCCCAGTGCTCTGTGGTATTTCCCTCCAGTCAGCGCCCCGCTCACCTTCAGAAGGTCATTCACACGTGCCAGGAGGCTGGCTGTCTCGGGGTCCCGGGGTTTGAGCATGACCAGTGGGTCCCAGGGTCATGGCCCCTCTCAGCTGCTCCACTGTGGATCAGGACCCCAGTCGGCTCCCACACAATGCCGGGGGGTCGGACACGCTGCAAGTCCCCAGTGAGCGCTTCTTGCTGACTAGGCACCGACCCCAAGACGGAAGGGGGACACGGAGTCCCCTGCTGCCAAGGACTCGGGCTGTGCCCCCCACAGCACCCAGAGCTGCCTTGGTCAGTGGGCAGCTGTGCTCTCGGGCCCGTGTGCCCCCCAGGACTTGTGTTACGGGGTCCCCATGCTCTGTGGTTCCAAACCTTTGGTCAGGTCCAAAGAGGGCTCCGGTTGGGTAGGGAGGATACGGACAGTGGCTGCTGGGTCAGAGAACATTTAGATGAACAGACTGTGGCTGCGTCTCCTTGACCTGGATGCATCATGAGCAGGGACGCGTGTCTGACGGGGACGCCTCCCCCCCAGCTGGAAAGCCGGCCACGCACCCCTGCCCTGCGGGCAACGCCGATGGGACACTGGCGGACACGCCAGCAGCTGTGCAGGCCACTGGGTTTTGGGGGACACACATCCGTCCCGGGGAACACTGCTGTCCCCTGTACATGACCCTGATCAGAAGCAGCTCTAACGTCCTCCCACAGACCAGGACCACGGCACAGCCCGCGAGTGCCCCCCAGGAGGGACCCCTGAGATTCAAAATGTTCCCGAGAGACAACCGGCACGGCCTTGACTGAGCCTGCTCCGAGGACCGAGGACCACGAACGAGAGCGTTGACATCTGAAGTGCCCGTCCTGCTGTGGTTCCGAGGACACACTTGCCGGGGTGCTGAGCGTGCGGAGGGACAGACTGAGCACGTGTGTGCAGAAAGGTGCCTCCCGCCGGGCAGTGCTGGGGGGCGCTCGGCACAATCCCAAGGAGGGTTGCCCCTTCAGGGGACGGCAATCTGATGCCCCGCCTGGGCACTGCCCCCGGGAGCTCCTGGTTGCCCGAAGATCACCGTCTGCTCTGAGGACGGCAGGTCCAAGGTGTGCGGGCAGCGTCCCAGGGGCGCCCGTCTGGGAGCAGAGTCAGCAGGCGGGGCTGACTGCCGGCCACCTGCCCAGCTGGGCCTTTGCCGGCTCGTGGGCTGGCCCGGCGCTGTGGTCAGGACAGGGCCACGCAAACAGGTTGCTGAAGGGGTGTCCGTGTGGGCCTGGCTGCGCAGAAGCCACTGCGGGGATTTGAGGGTGCATTAAAGCAGGGCCTGCAGTCCCGCCGGTGTGGCTCAGTGGTTGAGCGTTGACCCTGCACCAAGAGGTCGCCGGTTCAATTCCCGGTCAGGGCACATGCCCAGGTTGTGGGCTGATCCCCAGTGGGGGGCGTGCAGGAGGCGGCCAGTCCATGTTCTCTCTCATCCATGTTTCTCTGCCTCTCCCTTCCTCTCTCAAATCAATAAAGGAAAAAAAAATTAAAAAATAAAAAATAAGGCAGGGCATGCTGACATCCCCCGAGGAGCTCCCTCCGGGATCAGGAGACGGGAATTGGGGGCTGGTGTCCTCCGAGGTGGCCTCCTGGGCCCACAGACACGTCGACCTGCGGGGACTGCAGGACCTGGTTAAGTCCAGACACATCCCTCCTGTCCCTCGGAGCCACAAAACGTCCAAGACCGCCCTGTCGACTGGAGAGACAGAAACGGACCTCTGCGGGCAGACGGGCCCGTCCGGAGGCCCCAGGACCCTCAGGTGAGCCCCCACAGGAAGTCCCTGGACGCCTCGGCTCAGCCAGTGGTGGACAGAAGTGTGGCACAGGGCACACAGGCCGGTCTGGACCAGATTCCCGTTTCCTCAGACCAGGACCGTCTGTGAGAGCCGAGTCCACCAAGGGGCAGGGAGACCTTCCTTGGGGTAAGGGCCGGATCGTCAGAAAGGGGGTGAGAGGCAGGAAGGGCTGGCATAGCTGTGTGCTCACACCCACCACGAGGGGGCCAAGGGAGGGTCCCCTTGGATAGCTCCCTCTGCTTCCCAGGAGATCTTGGGGGTGGGGGTTATAACAACACAATTCTTCCCAGGGGGACAGTGCTGCATGGCCCTACCCCACCCCACCTCAACCTGCTTTCTCCTCCCTGATGCTACTGTCCCGGGACACAGGCTGCAACGTGGGGGCCGGAGCAGGGAGGGTTCCCGGGCGAGAAACCGTGACTCAGAGCTCAAACCTTCATGTGCAGCAACTCCGGGCCTGGCAGGGCGGACACAGCCTTCAGCCCCACCTGGCAGACAGCCGGCCGAGGTGGCCAAGCTCCGCGGGACCCCACCCTGGCGGCCGGAGGGCCTGTGATCTGGCCCAGCTCAGGGGCCAGACCGGCCGTCCCCCCCGGGGTGGGGACCCGGGGTGTGGGTGGGGAGCGGGGTAAGGAGCAAATGGGTCATGACGAGGGCAGCCCAGAACATGGGCCAGTACTACACTTCTCAAGGGGCTGGAAAACAGAGGGCATGTCTCATCTCGATGAGCCAGACTCCTGAGAGGCCAAGTCTACATCTGCTTTTTTTCCAATGTTTTTGTTCTTTATTGATTTGAGAGAGAGAGAGGAGGGGAGAGGGAGAGAGAGATGGAAACATGGATGAGACAGAACATGGACTGACCGCCTCCTGCACGCCCCCCACTGGGGATCAGCCCACAACCTGGGCCTGGGCCCTGACCGGGAATCGAACCAGCGACCTCCTGGTGCAGGGTCGATGCTCAACCACTGAGCCACACCAGCCGGGAACCACGAACTCATTTCTATGCCAGATGGCTCGGCACAAGCTGAGCACAGGCGACAGGGGGTCAGGAGAAGCAACAACGCCAGGAGGAGCCGCCCAGCCAGGAGAGGCCGGAGGGCTGGCCTCATACCTACAGTCTGGCCTGTGCCTTTGGCTCCTGGGGGTGAGGCCTAGGCCCCTGCAAAGTCCTGACTGGAGTCTGTGTACCTGGGGGTGTTGGGCACTGGACACCAAGCTGAGGGGCTGGGGACACATCGTCTTCACCGAAGGACGAGACGCTCCAGGCCACCAGGCTGACAGGGTGCGACCGAGCTCCAGTAAAAATGCTGGTACCACAGGCTCCCGGGTCGGCAACACTGTGTGAGAGGTCACCCCTCCTGCCAGGACGGTGCCGTGTCCTGGGAACAGCGGGGACCCTCCCGCTCTGTCCCACGTCTGAAGTGAGGATGACGTGTAGACCCTTCTCGCAGACTGCCGCTCGCCAGACTCCTCGGGGGCCTGGCATTCCAGGGTCCCTGAACCTTGGAAACCCCAAAATCAGAAGGAAATTGTTTTGAGAGGCTCAGGGAGCCAGAGCCAAGCTGGAGGCCGCGTGCTGACTCTGTGGGCACCGCAGCCCGGAGAGAACCTCGGGGACCCCCTGCTGAGGCGGACGAACCGCAGGGAGGTGACGGCCGCAGGGGAGGGCCCGGGCAGCGCTGGGGGCTGGGAGAAGGACCAGGATGGCGGGGAGTCTGCCAGCCAGCCAGGTGCTGCTCACCCCTCGCTGGGGTCCCCAGTCTGCCCCGCACGGTCTGTTCCCTGCGCCCCTGCCCGGAGTGTGACCACGTTGGACAGATTTGCTAGCTTTGCTTTTCAGAAAGAGGACGGAGCAGCCTGGCCAGCAGGAAGGAGGCCTTGGCTTCGGCCACAAGCCCTGGGGCGAGGACCTGTGAGGAGCAGGGAGGGAAAGGAGGGCCCCGGACGGCGGGCCTTCCGTGGCAGGTTCACCCTGTGGTCACAGGTGTGAATGACTCGCCACATCTGAAAATCGGGAGAGTGTGTATCAAAACGTACTTGAGAGGTGACCTTGAAGAATGAGAACATCCGGCCACCTGGGCCCAGGTCCCCGGACAGTGGCAGTTTCTGGAGCCGAGACTGCGCCCCTCCACACAGGGCCTGCGCTCCCAGTTGGCCACGGCCCCTCACGGCCCCCCACACAGAGTCAGAAAGATTTCGCATCACGGCCAGAGCTGGTGGCACCATGGGGACAACCACAGACTCGTGGCCGCTGCGTCGCGACACAAGGCTTCCCGCCACCAAGCGCACGGGCTCCGCAGGGTCTGAACGCCTGCTGCTGCCCACGACGCCCACGACCCGCAAACTGCGCGGCTGAACCCAGTGTGCAGAGAGCGAGCCGGGCGTGGCAAAGCCGGCCAGAGGGCGCCCCACCCGCGTCCTTCACTGACCCAGCCCGGGCTGCACCGGGGAGAAGGTGAATTCCCACCCTTCCGGCTCCGCCCAAGGCCCTCGTCTGCCGGAGGTGCCCAGGCCTCAGGGAAAGGGACAGGTGGCAGAGGGGCATCTCCAAAGTGACACTACCCGAGGCCCATGCGGGCAGTGACGCGCCCGAGGCCCACGCGGGGCAGCGGCAAAGGGACAGGCGAGGAGCGTCACCCGGCAGCACTGAGCACCCCGACCGCTCCCTGCACGGGGACTCCTGTCGGGGAAGGTCCTGGACTCAGCTCCCGGACGGGCTCGGGGAGACACCCAGCAGCAGGCCGGGGACCCGGCTCGCTGTCCTCGGAGTGACCTCCACGGAAGCGCTGTTTCCGCGCCCTTACCTTCCGCACTATCTGAGATTTCCTGCCGCGTGTGGGCTACTGCCACGATCAAACACAAACACGATGTTCTTAGGGAATCGCAGTGAAACAGGAAATGGAGCATCAGCTTTGGGGCCGGGCCTTCCCGCTGAGCCCAAAGCCCCACGGGCCCGTTTCCAGCCTTTAATGCCACCTGTGGGGTCCTCACTCCGCCCGCAGTGACCTCGTGCCGCTGTCCAAGCCCCCCGCACCCGGCTGCCGAGATCCCCACCAGGAACCCGAGGGGGCTGGAGTCGGCAAAATTAAGTTAATTTACAATTGGAGCAAAAAGACACCAATGCCCGCCCCACCCGCACGGTGCTGCGCGCCCAGAGCGGTGCGCTGGAGGGCGGCGCCCCGGGGGCCAAGGCCCGGCGCAGGGGGCTGGGGCGGCTGCCTCACAGGGCAAAGGGAGTAAAAAAAATGTGCATCTTGGCGAGGAAGGTGGTGACGGAGCCCTGCCGCCACAGCTTCATCTCCACGTCCAGGGCGAAGTCCCGGGGCTCGCGCACCAGGCGCTGCAGGTAGACCAGGCCGGTGTAGGCGTTGAGCCGGCGCGTGCCGAAGTAGCCCTCCTCGTTGCCCCTGGTGATGGTGAGGGCGATGGTGTCCCCCGCAAAGGCGGGCACCGGGCTGATGCGGAAGATGTGAGCCGGCACCAGGAGGCCGGTCTGGAAGTTGAGCTGGTAGTAGGTGATGCGGGCCGGGGAGCTCTGGCACTCGGCGAGGTCGTGGCACGCGGTGCGCTCGCACTTCCTGCGGGGCGCAGGGGGCGGGGTCAGCGGGCGGGGCTCCACCCCCCCACTTCCCCACCCCCCCACTTCCCCACACCCGGGCTCCCGCCCTGCTGTCTACCGCGCTGCGCTGGCCGAGACCGAGGCCCCTCAAGGCCCCAGCTCCGCCCTTAGTAGCCTTGGAGCATCTGCTAAGTCCCTTTACGCACATGGGTCTCAGTCTCCTCATCTGTAGGAGGGGCTAATAGCCCTGGGGTCTCCCTGGGGAGATGGGGTGAGTTCATAAACACACAGCACGCCCCAGTCCCTGGCACAGCTGGTTGGCAGCCTGCAGGTACCCTAAGCCCCTCCCTTCACCGTCCTGCGCTTGGTACGTGCAGACTGTCTCTGAGTCTGAATGGGTTCCCGGACCAGGGTGTTTTCATTGTTTCAATTATTTTACAAATTCCTTTTCTTCTATGAATTGTCTGCTTCTGGGCCATTTCCTGCTGTGACTTGGGGGCCCCACCCTTTTCCAGGTGGAAGCCCCAGGCTCAGCCAGAGGGGACGAGGATGACGACAGGGCCTCTGCCCACCCCCAGGGGGCCCAAGGCCTCAATTTCTACAACAACAAGCTGGCCTCCTCTGGGCCTTCTGAGCCACTGCGTCCCCATCGTTAGATCAGTGTAAAAGCTCCCAAAATGGGAGGGAGTTTAGGCGCCAGGGCTCGGCAACTCGAGAGATCTGAGCAGAATTCTCTGCCACCGGCGGGGGTAGGGACACCCCCGCCAAGCGGCCGGACTGGCGTGTGCGCCTGCCAAGCACCGTGCTCATCATACCCAGCTCCTTCCCGGTGGCACTGCTGTCCCGCACTGGGACCCAGAGGGAGGCCCCGGGCCACCTAGGCAGATGCCCTAACCCCCCCAGCACACATGCACACCACATGCACACGGACATTCCCCGTGTGCACAGTGGAAAGGGAGCAGCCCTCAGCAGGGCAGTAAATAAACGGCAGCCCCGCCCTGGGAACACTGGCCCAGGCAGGCGGCTCCCAGATGCGGGGCGTGGATGAGAGAACGTGGATGCGCTCCAGCCGCCGCCTGATGTCTGCGGGGAGGGGCGCTTTCATTGTTTGAATATTTTGGGGAGCACGTGTCCCTTTTGCAGAGGGCTGCCCCTGGCTCTCTCCACGCCCTTGCTGGGGGAAGGCATGTGGAAAGCAGACCCACGGGGAGGCCCACACGATGAAGCTGAGGCCTCCTGCCCAGACCCATGGGATTGGACTGCACGGTTCTGCAGCCAGAGACCCTGGGCCAGAACCTCCCAGCTGAGCAGCTCCTGAAATCCCGACCCTCCAGAACTGTGTGACAAAAGAACTGTCAGGTCACGGTGCTAAGTGTTAGGATCGCGCTACACAGCAATAACTAACGTGGTGTCTCTGTGTGTGTGTGCGCGAGACGGATGGGCAGACAGACTGGCAGACAGACTGTCCGTGTCTGCCCCGCGTTCTCTGCGCCCTGAACTCTCTACAAGGTGCTTGTTTGTGCTCCATTTGAGGACGGCGTGGGGGCGGGTGGAGAGCAGGAGGTGGGGCAGGGCCTGGGCCGAGGGACCCCTGCTGCCCGGGGTGGGGACACTCACGTTCCGGAGACGCGGACGTAGTTGGGGGGACACTCGAAGCGCAGGCAGCGGAAGCTGCCCTGGACGTTGTGGCAGGTCTCGGCCTCCGAGCAGTTGTGGGTGCCCAGGGCACACTCGTCGATGTCTGAGGGGAGGGCAGGAGGGTCACGGGGGATCCCGACAGCGGGGGACCCCAGTCCGAACGCCCACGCTGGAGGCCTGGGTCTCGGAGCAGCTCGTCCTGACTGCAGGGACACACCCCATCCAGTGCCCACCACACACACACCACACCCCAGCAAGCAGCCAGAGGGCCCGGCTCTAAAATAAAAACGACCTTTAGTGATGTTCTGAGGGCTCCCATGTTCCCAAAATGAAAAGCCGAGTCCCTCCTACGGACACAAGGCTACATTCAGCACAGGGCTCTCCTCTTCCCTCGGGCCACAGTCCTGCTGCACCCCTCTGAGCGGCCCCCGCCTGACCCTTACCCCACCTCAGGGCCTTTGCACATGCTGTTCTCGCTGCTGCAACACCTCCCACACCTCCCAGGATGGTGACGCTCAGGTCACACCCCACAGAATGTCCCCCGACTGGTCTTCCTCCCTCTTGACCCTCCGTCCCACCGTATTCTCCTTGTACTGCCTGCCCTGCGCACAGACACCTAAGCTACATGTACGTCTGCCCTGTCCCCACGGCCCCTGCTCAGTGTGAGCTCCAGGAGGGCCGGGGCAGGGGTCCCCCTCAGCCCCGTGGAGTGTCCAGCACCCAGCAGAGTGCCAGGCACAGGGCCTGTGCTCTACCTGGAGTGTTGGCTGGAGCTCAAGACTCATTACCTGTAAATATAGACTCAGATGCGCAGCTGCACGTGCCCCATAAATGGCAGACATGCTCACACTGCCCGTGCATGGCTGGGTACCCGCACGTGCTCAAGCACACCCACACAGGTACACGGACACACACCCACACAGGTACACGGACACACACCCACACAGGTACACGGACACACACACACACAGGTACACGGACACACACCCACACAGGTACATGGACACACACACACACAGGTACACGGACACACACACACACAGGTACACGGACACACACACACACAGGTACACGGACACACACACACACAGGTACACGGACACACACACACACAGGTACACGGACACACACACAGATACACACACCCACACAGGTACACAGACACACACCTACACAGGTACACGGACACACACACACAGGTACATGGACACATACCCACACAGGTACACGGACACACACACACACAGGTACACGGACACACACACACACACACACAGATACACACACACACACAGGTACACGGACACACACACACAGAGGTACACGGACACACACACCCACACAGGTACACGGACACACACCCACACAGGTACACGGACACACACACACAGGTACACGGACACACACACACGTACACACACAGACACGTGAACACATGGGTATCTGAGAAAAACTCAGAAGTGGTGCGAGTGTGTGTGAGTGTGTGTGTGTGTGTGTGTGTGAGACCCACAGGCAGCCGCTGGATCACACAAATGGGCTCCAGAGACCGTCCTGACACAAACAGCCCAGGCCCAGAGGGCAGCATTGGCATCCCCAAGGCCCGTGTGGGGTGTACCAAGGTCTGCAGGCACTTTCCTGGAGAGCAGACTGTTCAGCCCCCCGCACGGGCCCCGTTTAGGGGTTCTCCTCACCCAAGGCTCATCCCAGCCCACTGGGGGGGTGAGAGTCACTGGCCCCCAGAGAAGGGAACTGGGATCCGAGGGGCATAGCCTGGCTCAGGTGGGGTCCGGCAGCGGTCGGCTGGGGCTGAAAGCCAGGTCCACCTGATGCCGAAACCTGGATCCTGGCATGACAGCACGCTGGCTCCAACAGCGGCCACAGCCTGAGAGCAACGACAGCCGACCTGGGCCCCGTTCACCACCTGACGACCACGTGATGCTCGGGCACTCAACCCCTTCCCTCCTTCACCCCCACGGCCCCACGGCAGGTGTGGGGGTCGCCGCCCAGGCCCAGGGTGGCACAGCCAGGCAGGGCCACGTGCCAAACGCCCGGCCTGCTGCGGACCCTGGCCACTGTGTGCCATGCCCTGCGTGCTGATCTGCTCACCCCGTCAGCACCCCAAACTTCGCTTGCCCCCTCTGCAGAATGTGCCAGGACCCCAACTTTCTGGGTGAGTGGGAGAAAACACGGCAGGCGGCCGGAGCGGGCGGGGCCGGCATGGGTGCGGCTGTTCCCCTGACCGACGGTTCACCCTATGTGGCCACCCACACGCAGCAGGAAGTCCTGACCCTGCGGCCTGGGTGGGGGTGCAGCAAGGAGGCGGGAGCAGCATCTCACTGTCTGCCCTGGTCCAGTGTCCACAGATGTGTCCAGAGGTGGAAGAAAGAGCCCACGACGCAGTGGCTGCCCTAGGACCCCGGGGCCCTTGCCCCTTGGTGCCGCCAGGCCCCCGGCGTCTGTGGGGCTTTGACCCTGAAACCTGCCCTGCAGAGCCCAAGACAGAGAGCTCGACAAGGCCGCACACCCGGGGATGTCACTGCAGCCCGTCGGGCGGCCAGGCCACAACCGGACACGCGGCGATGGGAACAGGCGGCGATGGGGACGAACAGCATTGCTGAAAGCCAGCCCACCGCCTGCTCACGGCTGGACTACACTAAGAAAGGGAAAACGAGGTTCAAGGTTGTTTTCAGCGTGGCTGTAGCCAAGAGTACAGTGTGTGTACTGAGTGGGGCAGAGAGGAGACCACAGTTGTGAGCAGTGAAACAGTTTGTTGTGTTATCTACTGGTTACACTGTATCACCTTCCACAGAACCGGGAGCCTACGTCGGCCCCACCCTGCACGTGTGTGTCTATTGGCACAGAGAGACTGGCAGGAGAAACGCCCAGATATCCGCATCGGTTGCTGCGGATGGGACGTGGCTGAGCGCTCAGCGGGCACCCAGTGAACGGGACACGAAGCATGTTCCAGGAGACGTGCCGAGTCTCGCTGCCTGACACCTCTTTCCATTTCTAACAATGAAGGAAGGGCAGACGCTGGCCTGAGATCCTGACCCGTGCTCCCCACGGCCTTCCCAACATCGGAGCCTTGAGACAGTGTTTGGGCCGAGTCAGAACCGAACCAGGGACCGCACAGGAGCAGCCGCTGAGCTCTGGAGGTCAGTGGCCGCAGACTCGGGCCCCCGGCGTGACTCAGGAGACAGGCACGACCAGGCAGAACCAGCCTCGCAAGCTCTGCCCTCGTTCACCTCTGAGGGCAGAGACTCTTCCAGCAAAAGACTGGAGAGAAAACAAAAGCATCGTGGGTGTGGGGGACCTCCGGGTGGTGGTGGTGCCACAGCGTGGGGTACAGAGAGGGGACCCTGCCTCGTCAGTCCTTTTGCATGTCAGGGAAGTGGGTCACTGGGTAAGCTACTAGGGGGCAAACGGGCAGCCACCCCCAAGATCAGCACTGGCAGTAGACTCCCCTGTGCCCAGCAGGCACGTGCCAGGTCCTGGGAGCCCACTGGGCCCACACAGGCATGTCTGGACATCCGGGCACCCCTCTGACCCTGGCTAGCACGGGCCAGGAGGAGGGGTCAGAGCAAGACTGTCTTGAATGTGACCAGCTCTCCAGTCTAAAGTCAAGAGCAAAGGTCACCGCAGCGCCGACTGAGCCTCCTGGACGCCGGCAGACTGAGCCCCCGCCGGGCGAACAGGGCCGCAGTCTCAAAGTGAAACCGCATGCGAGGGGCACCCCCTGTTTCCCACGCAGCTCAGCGTGCGGCGAGTCAGATCCCCACCGTGGACGAAGTGCACACGGATCACTTTTTAAATTAAAAAGCAGAGCCCTGGCCGGGTGCTCAGCGGTTAGAGCGTCAGCCCACGGCCAGAGAGTCCCAGGTTCGGTTCCCACTAAGGGCACGTACCTCGGTTGCAGCTGGTCCCCGGCCCCGGTTGGGGTCCTGTGGGTGGCAGCCAGTCGATGTGTGTCTCTCTCTCTCCCTCCCTCTCTCCCTCCTGCTCTATCTGAGGATAAATGCAAAAATGCCCCCAGGTGAGGATTAAAAAAAAAAAAAAAAAAAGCAGAGAGCTTCGGGCCAGGGAGACCTGGGTCAGCCTCTGTGGGTGAGCCCAGCAGGCCCCTAATTCACCTGTTCTCACTCAGAGCCTTTTCATTCATGATGGTTATTTTGTTGCTGGTTTTTCACGAACCTACAGGAAGGAATCCGTTTGCACTGGGACTTAGGACACACGTGGGAACTGAAACAATCTTCACAGACGCTGCCCCCTGCCTGACCCACATTCTCCTCTACAATGAAAACAAACCAGCGGGCTGACACCCCCGCATCTGCTCTCAGGATCTGTTTACAGGCAGCGACCATGGGTCGTACTGTGTACCCTTCTGGGGGCCAACTCTGACTCCCCGTCCCCCAGAATCACCAGTGGACAAGGCGGCAACCCGGACCCCCGGCTCTCAGCCCCACCACCCAGCAGACGACCGTGCAGCAGGGGCAGGAGGGCTGTGCTCTGTGGAGGGCGGTGTTGGATTTCCCAGGGGTTCCGGCACCGCCCCTACACCCTGCCCCACGTGGATCCGGGGCCCTCCACCTTGCCCGGGTGACTTGCCAGGCCCGGAATTTGGTGGCCTCGGCACATTCTGACGGAGCTGAAGTAAAGATCACGATTCTCCAACTTAGAAAACGAGATGTCATCGAACCCAGTTCCCCATCCAGGACAAGTCATCCCCTCGACTGCCCAGCTGTCTAGGCCTGTCTGGGGGACAGGAAGTCCCCCCTCCTTTACACCCCCGCCCAGCCCTGCACACCTCTGACTGGGAGTCTCCTCGCGTGCGGGTCTGGGACACGCCTCTCCGGGAGCCTCTGCTACGGGTACAGGATCCCTCTCACCCTCTGTGTCCAAGACCTGCTGCCCGACCCCTGGACAGCTTCCCAGACACTGGGGACAGAGCCGGGGGGCCCTGAAGCTGTCCTTCTCACCGGACAGGTCTCTCGTGCCCCCAGAGCCGCCCAGCAGGGCCTCTGCCTCCTCCCAGGGCAAGGCCCGGAGCTGAGCCCAAATCTGGAACGTTCCAAGTTGGGTCAAGCAGCTGCAGGCCTGTCACCCTCACCCTGGGCACAGACCCCGGGGGACTGGCCCCTGTGTGCTGTGCTCCGGGTGCCAGGGCCCAGGTGAGCAGCAAGCCACGTGAGGTCCCCAGGTCTGCTGGGTCGCGGCCGAGCCTGGTGGGCAGGCTCCCTTGCTTACCCTTGCAGGACCTTCCGTTGGCCGCCATGGTGTAGCCCTGCTCGGGACACGCACACTGGTAGCTCCCCGGCACGTTGACGCAGCGGAAGGTGCACAGGATGCTGGCGCCCTGGGCACACTCGTCGATGTCTGCCGGAGAGAGGTTCACCCTGGGACGCTGCCCGCCGCAGGGCCTGCCACAGCACGGAGCTCAGGGGCCACGTTACGGACGAGGACAGTGGGCTCAGAGAGAGGGAGCGAGCTGCCCAGGCCACACGGCGACCCAGGACTCCCGTTCTAGGGCTTGCTCCCCGGGGCCGCCCCACAAACACCACGGTCAGCTAAGGGGCAGTCAGGCAGCCAACACAGGCCCGGAACAGTCTTCAAGGGGGCCCTTCACCCCGGAACACTTCGCCCCGCTGGGGTCAGGACCAGACTTCCACGTCGCAGGGGGGCGGCCTTTGCCGGCAGGTCCCAGGGACCAGACTCCACTCTGACTGGAGGCCAGAGCCCGTGTCTCCCCTGCGCTGGGCACGCCGGGCAGGGCCGGGCAGGGGGCGGTACCTGTGCAGGTGTGCCCGTCCTCGGCCAACTGGTAGCCCTGGCGGCAGTAGCACTGGTAGGAGCCGTAGATGTTGGCACACTCCTGGCTGCAGCGCTGGGCCTCACACTCGTTCACGTCTGGGGAGACAGCGGAGGTCAGGGCGCCCTCCCCGCCCACAGGCGAGGACCGGTCCAGGCAGTGCACGGAGGCGAGGTCGGGCGGCCGGTACCTTCGCAGCGCGTGCGGTCGGCGGCCAGCTGGAAGCCGGGGGCGCAGGAGCAGCGGTAGGAGCCGGGCGTGTTCTCGCAGGTGTGCTGGCACAGGCGGCCGGGCGAGGCCCAGCACTCGTCCACGTCTGCGGGCGGGCAGGGGCAGGGCAGCTCCTGGAGGCAGCTCCCTCCACCCCGGGGGGCAGGGGCCTGGGCTGGGACAGGGATCCAGGGACCCAGGAGGGACAAGGAGAGACCCAGACGGGGCAGCGAGATGGGACCGGGCAGGAAGCAGTGAGGGTGTTGGAGGGAGGCTGGAGCCGACCGAGGGGCAGTCACAGAGGGGCACGGGGACAGGGCACTAGGGTGGACAGACCAGGGCCACGGCGGGGCAGGAGGGCAGAGGGCAGGAGGGCAGAGGACAGAGGGCAGAGGGCAGGAGGACAGAGGGCAGAGGGCAGGAGGGCAGGAGAGCAGAGGACAGAGGGCAGGAGGACAGAGGACAGAGGGCAGAGGGCAGGAGGGCAGAGGGCAGGAGAGCGGAGGGCATAGGGCAGATGGCATAGGGCAGAGGGCAGAGGGCAGGAGGGCAGAGAGCAGAGGGCAGGAGGGCAGGAGGGCAGAGGGCAGGAGGGCGGAGGGCAGAGGACAGAGGGCAGAGGACAGAGGGCAGAGGGCAGAGGGCAGGAGGACAGAGGGCAGGAGGGCAGAGAGCAGAGGGCAGAGGGCAGAGGGCAGAGGGCAGAGGGCAGGGCCTGCAGAGAGGAGGCAGCCAGAGGCAGGCCTGGGCCAGCGGGCTCAGCTCAGGGGAGCCAGGCCGGTCGAGGAACCAGCCCACCTACCGACACAGGCCCGACCGAAGGCGTCGGGCTGGAAGCCGGCCTTGCAGTCACAGCGGTAGGAGCCGGGCAGGTTGTGGCACACCTGGCCCTCCCCGCACTGGTGCGTGCCCGCCTCACACTCGTTCACGTCTGCGGGGGCAAGGACGCGCCCTGAGGCCCACGCTCTCCCCCAGGAAGGCCGAGCCCCAGGGGCAGGTGCCCAGCCTCACCCACACACGTGGTCCCGTCCTCGCTGGCGCGGTAGCCGCGCCGGCACAGCAGCGGGTTCCTCTGGCACGTGTAGGAGCCCACGGTGTTGACGCAGCTGGAGCCAGCCCGGCAGGGCTCGGGCAGGGACGTGCACTCGTTGATGTCTGCGGGGGGGCTGTGGGTCAGACTGTCCCGTCCGTGCCCACCGCACGGAAGGCCTCAGCTCCCAGAACCCACACACCTGCCGCTGCTTCTTCTAGCCCAGAGGCGCAGGGGAACCAGGCTGGCGTCTGGGACACTGTGCAAGTCACACCCCTGCTCTGGCGTCTCCAAACCCGCCCGCCTGTGAAGTCACCGCCCAGGGCTGCCCCCACACTGCCCCCCCCCCCCGCGGCCTCACCCTACCCGGCCGGGCACAGCCTGCCCCTCACATTTCCACGGTCACTCCCTACTTCCTCGGGCCCGTCCCGATGCCACCTCCTGAGGGTCGCCCCGCCTGACCACCGCAGGCGAGAAGCTGCCACTTAAACTTTATCCCTCTTGTTCCGTTGCTGAGGAGCCCCCTGGGGTAAGTGGGCCTCGTATGGACGTGTCTGCGTATTTGCTCCCCCAGGGTGTTGTTGAAGGGCTGCAGCCGGTGCCAAGGACGGCAGCAGCCAGAGGGACCTGCAGCTGGCAGACACCCCACCGGCCCTGGGGGGCCCCTCTCATGCCCACAGCCGCGTCCTGTGACGAGCTGGAGACAGCTGTGAAAGGGGGGCCTCAGGGGGCTCCAGACCCAGACTAGCCAGAGGGACCCCCCAGAGTCTTAGAAGGCTTTCGGATCAAGCTAAGGCCCCTCTGGCCCTCGGCACCCTGCCGGTCACCTGGGACACACACCCCACAAGCTGTTCTAACAGACAAGGGGACAGACAGACAGACACTGCTTGGACAGGCCTGTTCCCCTCAGCACAGCGACGGCCTCGCCGCGCCTGCCTTCGCCCCTCGCCCCCAAAGCTGAGGGTGCCCCTCATCAGGCCTGTGCTCCTTGGCCGGCACTGTTCTGGGGTGCCTGCCGGTGCTCCCCTCCGGCCTCCCGGGGTAGCCTTGGAAAGGGGGTCCCCCTCTGGCCTCCCGGGGTAGCCTTGGAAAGGGGGTCCCCTGGCGGCCAACCGCAGGCTCTCAAGGCCGCTGGAGCCCCCGTGGGGACGAGGCCCGTGTGCCCGACCGCGGGTCTGACCCAGGGGCGCAGCAGGACACCCGCCGCCAAGGGCCCGCCCGTGGTCATGGCCCCCGCAGGGGTGCTTTGCGAAACGTGCTCCAGCCGTGTGTGGGCGCCACGTGAAGACGTGAGATAGACGCCCCCCTGCCAACTGGCTGAAAGCAACGGGGTGCCCCTCACCCAGCCCAACCCCACCGACGGGCAAACAAGCCAGAGCAGGGAGCCAGCCGGGGAGACAGCCCGGGGGGAGCTCGCGGGGAGCTCGGGGCACGGTGCCTCCTGCCCGGCTGGGGCGCTAGGCTGGGCCAGCAGAACCCCCGGACTCCCCCCCAAGCCCGGCGGCGGCGCCCACTCACCCACGCAGTTGCCCTCAGGGTCCTGCAGGAAGCCCTCCAGGCAGCGCTGCCGGGTCTGGCAGCGGAAGGAGCCCCGAGTGTTCTGGCACGTGGCGCCCGCCGGGCAGGTGTGCGTGCCCAGCTCACACTCGTCCACATCTGGCGGGAGGCAGGGGTCAGGCCGGCGGGCGGGGGGCCCCTCGCCCACGGCCTCGAGCTCACGCAGGACGCCCACATCTCGGGGGCGGGGCGGAGGGGCGGGCCGCCCGCCCCCACCCAGTGACAAGGACACGAGGCACCGCCGCGTCCCCGAGCCCCTCCACGTACTGGGCACTGCCCCCCAGAACCCTGCAGCACACGGGAGCTCGGGACCCACTGGGAAGGCTCAAGGAGACGTCTCCCTCTTCCTAGGAGGCTAGAATCTTCCAGAGACGGGGCGGAGTGATCCGCGGGCTCCACCCCAGTGCACAAACGGGGAAACTGAGGCACAGCGAGGGGAGTAACCGGCACACCGGCAAGGGCCGCAAAGCCAGGAGCCGACGCTGCACCCACAGCCTCAGACACCATCCCTCGTGGGTCCTCCACAGGCAGGAACCCACGCGCCGGGAGCTCTCGGCTCGGGCAGGTCGGGTCTGAGGGGTTGGGGGGCGAGGACAGGTGGGGGGCCGCAGCCTCACCGAGGCACTCCCCGTCCTCCATGGCGTAGCCGGGCGGGCAGCTGGGGGCCTTGTAGCAGCGGAAGGAGCCCACGGTGTTCACGCAGCGCTCACCGCGGCTGCAGGTGTGCAGGTCGGTCACGCACTCGTTGACGTCTGCGGGGAGAGCGCGCATCAGGGCCGCGGGGAGGCCGAGCCACCAGCAGGTCTGCCGGCAGCTCTCGGCCCAGGGTGCCTTCCGTGCGCAGGACTGAGGGGTGCCGGCCCGCGCTGCTCCTGGCACCAGGGGGCGTGGTGGGCAAGGCAGAGACCCTGCCGCGTGGGGACGGGCACTCGGGAGGAGGCCCAGCAGAGGGAGAAGCAAACATGTGACAGGGCGGGGCCGGGGGCCGTGGGCGTCATGGGTGCAGAGGAGGGGGGTGTGGGGGGCTCACACGTGTCAGGGAGCCAAGGGCGGGGCCTCAGAGAACAGAACATCTGAGCAAGCATTTGAAGAAGTGACGGGTGAGCCCAGCACACACTCAGGTCCGAGGGCCCGGGGGGAGGTGGGGTGACATTATAACACGGTCCGCCGTGTGGACACTCCAGGACGGAAGACAGGACCGACGGGATCCGCCAGGAGATGAACATGGGAGAAAAAGGGGGACCGGAGGCCTGCAAAGCTCGCGGGCCCAGCAGGTGGACAGGTGGGACCCCGCACCGGGCAGGCGGGGGAGGGGAGCCCTCCGGCCACTGAATCTGAGCAGAGGCCACTCAGAGCAGCCAGGCTGAGCTCAGGGGGCGAGGCAGAGAGGACAGCCCCCCAGAGGGAGGCACTAGGCCTTGGGAAAAGAGGGCGCAGGAGAGCCCCTGGGGAGCTCACAGCTCCACTCTGGCTCGGCCTCCATGCTGCCCCGGGGGCGTCATCCGCGGGTCAGTCCTTCCTGGACACCATGAGCTAGTGCTGTGCTGGCTCCAGGTGACCAAGGGGGTCGGCCACAGCCCCGCGGGCACACAGGACAGGCAGGGGGGGAGCTGAGCCGACCCCAGGCCAGGCCCGAGCACCACCCCTCACTGGCTGTCAGGGTCCCTCCCTGGGAGGATGAGGAGGGGGCAGGGCCGAGGGACAGGAGGCCCCCAAACCCACAGGGGAAGGAGCGAGGGCCAGGCCAACCTGGTTTCGGTGGGGATGGGGGAGGAAGACAGTTCTGGGTCAGCGGGTGCCAAGGGCAGGCTGGAGTACCAGAGGGACACTCCCAGGACACCGCAGCCCCGGAGCCCCACGGTCAACAAGACCGACTGAGGGTCGCTAGGGGCCGGGCAGGTCACAGGGCGGGCACCCTGAGGTCTCCCGGGGGGCTGTGGCTGGACCGAAGCCCCACCACCCGCATGGCAGCAGCAACAGCAAACCCCCGAGTGCCCGCTCGGAGCTGCCCTCCCCCCACCACGGGCTGAGCCCCCCGTCAGCCCAGCCCACGCAGGACACGTGTCCCAGAGCCAGGACAGGCCTGAGGGGCCCGAAAGGCAAACAAAGCACAGGGTGTCCCCACAGAGGTCACCTGTCCGCTGGAGGCCCCCTGACCTTGGCACCACCCCAATACTCCCTCTGCAGCTCACATACCTCCGGGGACGGAGGGCTCACTACCTATGCGGGCTGCCTCTGTACAACACGGGCACAGAACCAGTCACGACAGGAGACGGGTGCAAATTCCACAGTTCATCTCCACACTGGCCCTTTGGGGTGCGTGTGGGGAAACTGAGACATTCCATGACTCGTCCACGGTCTTACAGCCAGAAGGTGGCCGAGCGAGAGCCGAGCCCAGGCTGCCGGGCTGCAGAAGCCTCCCCCCCTCCACCCCGGGTCCCCACCCTCGCGCCTACGGCCCAGGCCTGGAGCCCCAGTGAGCTGGAGACACGAGCAGCGTGTCTGTGGTGAGCGCGGAGGGGAAGGGAAGGTGCTGACGTGACCAAGGGACCGGCCTCGGGAGGCAAGGAAGAGACCAGCGTGGTCTGCAGGCCGGACACGGAGGGAAGGGCGGATGAGAACGTGCTCTCGTAAGGTCGGTGAAGGAAATGCTCTTCCCACCCCGGATCCTGCGTCCAGCTGCCCAGGGACCCCTCTAGTCCAGGGTCCTCTCCGCAGGCCACAGCAAGCGGGCAGGGTCCCAGGCGGGGCGTCCAGCTCAGGGTCCGCCTCCCCAGACAGACACACAGACACCCCCAGACAGGACAAGCGGGTTCGGGAGGTACATGTTGTACCGGTGGCCGGGGGCCAGGGGCAAACATGCCGGCCCAGCGCCTCGGGCCTGTCGTCCAGCACAGAGGAGGGGGGCGAGGACATGTTCAGGCCGAACATGGTCCCCAGACACACAGGCGACGGACGGGGCTCGGGCACACGGCTCCCTCCCACGGGTGCGCCAGCTGCCCTTTGCCCGGCAAGTCCCAGCCGTCCTCAGAGACAGGAGCGGACACCCCCATCTCCAGGACGCCGGGCTGACCTGCGCTGGAACTGCCTCCCCTCGGGCCCTGTCCCTGCTGAGCACTTCCCGGCCTGCCCTGCGCTCCTGGGGCCTGGCGTCTGGGTGCCTCCTCCAGACAGTCGGCACCAAGTCTCCCTCTCGCTGCCCACAGAGGCACCTGGAGCCCAGCGCCGGCCCTGAGGGCAGGGGGACAGGTGTGACCAGCCACCAGCCCGCCTGGTCCTCGGAGCCCTCGGTTAGAGGTGAGGAAACAGATTCCACTGCTCAGGTAGCACAGCCAACGACACCACAGGGGTGCGGAGCGGGGAGTGTCAGACCCCGGCTCCGTTGGCTCAGCTCTGGAGGGGCGCCCCAGCCCCCTGCACCGTGCTCACGGGGAGCACGGCCTCCACAGAGGGGCGGTGACCTGGCTGCCTGCCTACAGCTGACACGGAGGCTGGGAGAAGGGACGTCCCTTCTCCAAGGCCACCGAGCTCCTCGAGGGCCCTCCTCACACCCAGGCCCCTGCCTCCGGACCTCACACTGTCTCCTGCCGCCCACAGGTCTGACCTCCTCGCTGAGTGACCCCGCCAAGCCTCACCCTGACGGCCGTGTTCTGACTCTGTCCCTGGGGAAATGCGTCGGCGGAGAAGCAGGACAGACACCAGGACACGTGGGACAGGCGCGGGCGTCAGCTGTGCTCAGAGCTCAGGCGGGCCGGGCGGCGAACAGAGCGGGGTGCCGGGCGCTAGCGGGACTCTCGCTTACCCACACACTTCCTGAGCGCGTTGAGGATAAAGCCCTGGGCACAGAGCACTGTGTGGTTGACACAGTAGAAGGATCCCAGGGTGTTCACACAGAACTGCCACCGGCTACAATCGTGAGTGCCCAGCAGGCACTCGTCTTGGTCTGACGACAGCCGCGGGAGGGAAAACAGAAGGGCCATTAGCGAGGCCTGTCGGGGGGCAGGGGTGCCGGGGGGCTGCCACCTGGAGGGGCGGACAGCGGCTCGGGCCACCCAGCCCAGCAGCGGCCCCTCCGGGCTGGGCCCAGCCTGAGCTGGTCCAGTCAATGCTGGAATCCCAGTGGGGACAGGGGTCAGGCTCAGAGAGGAAGCAGCCTGCCCACGCTCCGTGGGTGCTCCACCTCTGCACACAGCCGCGGGCGCCCCACCTCTGCACGCAGCCGCGGGCGCCCCACACGCCAGGGTCACGCACTGCAGCGCCTGGGGCTCAGGCTGGCACAGAAAGGGGAGAGGAGCTGAAGGGGGCTCCGAGGACCCCGCGGGGCCTGTGCGTTGTCCGGGGCGGGGGGGCGGAGCGGTGGGCCCCTTCTGGGCAGAGGTTACAAAGTTTCGAGAGAAAACTGAAATCTGGACATTTAAAAAAAAAAATTCCTGCCCTGGCCGGTTTGGCTCAGCGGTTAGAGCGTCGGCCTGCGGTCCGGAGAGACCCGGGTTCGGTTCCCGCTAAGGGCATGTACTTCGGTTGCAGTTTGTCCCCGGCCCTGGTTGGTCGTGCGGGTGGCAACCACTCGATGTGTCCCTTTCATGTCGATGTTTCTCTCTCTCTCTCCCTCCCACTCTATCTGAACAAAAAATGGAAAAATGTCCTCGGGTGAGGAGAAAAAAGAAAAAAATTCCTGAGGTGGTCAGGCTTGGGAACGCGTTTGATTAATTTAAAGGGGATCACGCCCAGCAGGACCCCTTCATGATGTGTCTGCAGCCCCTGGCCTGGGGCCCTCAGCCTTTACTGCCCCGAGGGGGGACTCTGCAGAGGAGAGGGACCGGGAGGCACCCCACACTGGCCCTCAGCCTTTACTGCCCGGGGGTGGGGGTCTCTGCAGAGGAGAGGGACCGGGAGGCACCCCACACTGGCCGGCAGCCTGGCTGGGCCGGAAGGAATCGGGAGGGATTCATCCTCACAGCCCCAAGGACACTGACACCCACACCACGGCCTCCTGTCCTCGGGCGCCGGGTGCTTCCCACACACAGGAAGCACCTCAGCCAGGAGCCGGATAAGCGTTTCAGCTTCTGGCAGGTTTGTGGGCGTTTTCCTGGACACTTACTCCTGGACCCCGGAAACCCCCCGGGACACCTCTCCTGGACCTGAACCGAACGGCGGGGTGTGACCCCCTGCAGGCTCCGTGTCTGTCCTGCCTGCAGACGTGGGCGGAGTAGTCTGGGGGCCTCAGGTGCTCACTCAAGGGGGCATCCGCTGTGGGAACCACCCCAGCAGGTGCTGGGACAAAGCCCCATCTACAGGAGGGGCCCCATCTACAGGAGGGGTCCCGCCCACAGAGGCCCCGCGAGACCAGATTCACACCCAGCAGGGTCGCTGGCGGGAAAGGGACATGCTTCTGGGACCACCACCCCTCTGCGTGGCGGCAGCACCCACGGTCCCTCCTCGGCTTCAGTAACAGACTGAGTCCTGCCGTCCAGCCGTCCAGCGGGGACTCTCGTCCCCATGGGAGGCACAGGGAGGGATGAAGGCCACCGCCGGGCCCTGCCTTACGGTCGTCGGGCACACGCCCCTTCCCTTCCTCCACCGCGGTGGAATAGGGACAAAGTGGCAGAAGCCACTTGGGTCACGCAGACAGAGGCGACCCTCAAGGACAGGGTGGTTGGCCTGTGGTCCAGGGACCCGGCCGGAAATACAGATTCTCAGGCCACCGCCACACCTGCTGGTCAGGGTCCCTGGGACTCTGGGGGGTCTCAGGCTCCAGCGGCCTCGGGCGCACGCTTAGGTTTGGGGAGCACTACTCTCGAGAACAGGCGTCAGTGTGACAGAAGAGGCCGGGTCCTGGCCCGCCTGGGCGCCCCCCGGACGGAGACCCAGGAACCTCTGCTCGAGCCATCGGGGCCCCTCACGCACGCAGCCGAGCCTGCTCCTGGCTCGCGTTCCGGGTCGGAGATCGGGGATCGGGACCGCGCCCTCATTCTGCCTGCCGATCCCGCTCTGGGCCCGGCCACAGGCCTCGCGCGGGTGCGAGGGCCCCGCACTCACCTTCGCAGGACACGCCGTCGGCCATGATGGCGTAGCCGGGGAAGCAGGAGCACATGGCGTTGTCGCCCACCATGCGGCACAGCTGTCGGCACGGCCCGTTGTCTGGGAGGAGACCGCGCAGAGGTCAGACCGCCAGCTCCTCGCGCCCAGCTCTGACCTGCAGTGTGGGGACCAGGGCCGGGAACCCCACTCCTGGGCTCATCGAGCCGCCGCCGCCGCCACCACTCAGACACGGCCCCCTCAGGACACAGTGACGGGGTGGGGGGGACAGGAGACAGGGAGCAGATGCAGGAACAGGGCGGAGGGCAGAACAAAGAACTTGCCCGCAACACTGTCTGCCTGACAGTTCCGCCAGCAACAATGTATCCTCTCGACTCCACAGAACCCAGGGCAGGAAGTATCCAGCTGGCTGCTGGGGGTCACAGGCAGCCTCCCAGCCTGTCCTCCAGTCTCCTACCCCTCTCACCCCAGGCGGACCCTCCCCCCAAACCGCACCTCCTCAGCTACACTCAGCCTGGGGAGACCAACCAACCCCCAAGGCAGACCCTCGCCCCTGGAGAGCTCGCCGCCCGCAGCTCCCAGCCGCCCGCCCCCCCGCCCGAGACCCCGGCACCTTTGCAGGTATTGGGCTGCGGCCGTGGCAGCAGGATGGTGTTGGGGGCCACTTGGGAGGGTTCCGACCTCAGTGCCGACTCCTCTGCAGCCTCAGGCTGTGGGCCGCCGTTGTCTGTCCAGGCAGAGCAGACGGGGGGGGGGGTCTGGCTCACAGCTGCAGCCAGGCCTCAGGCCCCATCGGGCACCACGCCAGCAGTTGGTAGAAACAGCCTCACTTCATCCCCACCCATTTCACAGGAGAGGAGACTGAGGCTCGGAGAGCAACGTGCTTCAGGGAAGCTCCATCTCCCAGCTAAACCGACAAGTCTGCCCCTGGGGCTGGCAGACAGAAAGCCCTCCTGCGCTGCCTGCCGGGGCTGAAGCCCCGAGGACCAGCCCATGGGGACAGCCCATGGGGACACAGACGGGCGGCTTGGGTGCCGGCCCTGCACTCAAACCAGGACAGAGCCCTGGGGCTCCCCCTGCAGACGGGGTTCCAGGAAGGAGTCTATCAACCTGGCGGAGGCCCCGGATCCTGTGGGCTCCAACGTGGGGAGTGCAGGGGGTGGGGGGGGAGCAGTACCCCTCAGTGCCCCCTGCTGGAAGGCCACGCTGCCCGGCAGGATCAGCCCCGCCCAGCCGGCCGGGTTCTCACCTGGGTCCTCACCTGGGCCCTCACCTGGGCCCTCACCTGGGCGGCAGGTGCGGCCATCCTCCTGCAGTGAGAAGCCGGGAAAGCAGGCGCAGCGGTAGGAGCCCACGGTGTTGATGCAGAGGTGCTGGCACAGCTCCCCCGGGAGCAGCAGGCACTCGTCCTGGTCGTCGCCGGGCAGGCTGTTGGGCAGTTCGGTCTCTGCGCCCAGGGACAGGGCCTCCCGGCTCCCCAGCTGCGCCTCTGAAACTGGGCAGGCGTCGGCGCTCAGGACGGGGCCGTGCTGCCCAGCAGGTGGCTGAGACCTCAGCCCCCAGAACTCAGGGCAGGTCCTCGTCAGAACCCTCCAGGGGCCCAGTGGGGGCAGCGTGGATGGATGGAAGGTGGGCAGACGGATGGATAAGGATGGCTGGGTGGACAGAACCCCAGCCATGAGAGTGAACCCCTCAGAGCCACATCCACACAGGCCTTGGGAAGCTTTGGCCAAAGTGATGACAAGGACTCGGACCTCTGACCTCAGTGACATCACCGGGGGCCACCCCTGGCAACAAACCTGGGTGCCATCAGATTCCGATCTGAGCCTCCCTCGTGCCTTCTCCCCCACCTCAGTCCCCGCTGTGTCCCTTTGCAGCACAGGTCTCCCCGGGCCTCCTGGGCTGTGCTGGGGTGGGGGGGGGGGGGAGACAGGCTCTCCATACACAGTCATGGGAAAGGGAGGGGCCGAGGTCCCTACTTGCTCCAGGTCAGCCGGGGCCCCCACTCTGTCCCTCGGCACCAGCAGCCAAGCCCCTCGGGGGCAGCTGCACTGGACCACACCTGAGGAGTACCTTGCACACTGAGGACATTTACCTCAAGCTCCACCCCCAGCAGCCCAGGCCTGGGACCTCCGGGGTGTCACGGTGGCTGACAGTCCAGCCCTATGACCCTGTACCTGGCCTCTGCCGGGCACACCACAGAGGTCATGCTCAGCCCACCTGCATCAGCAACAACCCTCCCAGCAGAGGGGACACTGCGGCTCTGGGGAGCAGAGACCTGCCCAAGGTCACCTGAGCAGGACTGGGACCCAGGTTGCTCTGACCTTGCCTCTTGTGTTCCCTGAGGTCCAGGTCACCCACGACTTAGCCACTGACAGAGAAGAACACGTACCTCTGGCTCTGCACCTACCCTCTGACCCTTGAAGGTGAACTCCCCCCAAAATTTTCCCCTGAATCAGACACATGGGTACCAGTAACCTGCACACTGATGCTCAACCCGCCCCCAGAGCCAACCTCATCCAGGGGCATCTCCTTGGGCAGGACAACCTCCGCGGCCGAGCTGGGAAGGCCATCTCTGTCGTCAGCTCCCTGGCCTGTCCACCCTCCTCACACTGGCCGCTGCCCTGCCCTGCTGGGACATCCAGGTGTCCGCAGGTCCACCATCACATCCAGCGAGCTGTGGGCCCACTGGATACGAGGTCTTCTCCTAGGAGCCCTGGCCTGGTAGCCGGTGGGCAGCAGGCACCCAAAGTGCCATGTACAGATTCCCACCGTCTTGCATGATCACGACAGAGACCCGGGGACGGTCTGATCAAATCAGGGCACCAGAAAGCCCAGCTCATCAGAGCCCAGTCTCGTCCCAACTACGCCCCGAACCCAGTCTGCACAGGGGGCGAACCCCAGGCCTCTCGGGGCCTCAGCATCCTCGTCTGGACTACTGAACATGGCATCAGAGACGGGCCAGGCACACCCCGCCACCCTTCCACAGGAAGGGAGGTGAAGAGCAGAACCCCACGTCTGACCGTCTGCAGAAAGGCCATGACTTGAGAACAGCGGGGCTGGGGCTTCAACCGGGCCTGCTGGACCCCAAAGGCCGGAGCTAACCTGGACACCAGGCCTGCCTCTGGGCTCATTCCCACCCTCCAGTGCCTCGGACTGGCCCGCAGGGGCCCCAGGTGGTCCGCACAGCTGCAGACAGACTCACGTTTCTGGGACCCTCCTGGGCGCCCGGCCCCTGCTGGTCAAGGCAAACACCTGCGCGAGGGGTCCCGGGGCTCTGGGCCCAGCTCCACTAAGGACACCCGCCGACTCGCTGGGGCACCTCGACTGGGTTCCTGCTGACCCCAAGGCCAGTGGCCAGGAGTCCAGGAGACAGTCCTCGACCGGGTGACAGAGGCTGAACGTGGCAGCTGGATCCGTGGCCACAGGACACAGGACACAGGAGGGAGGAGACTCCAGGACCTTGCTGCTGACCCTCAGGCCCACGCACGGGGAGAGGGCGAGGCACAGGCACGGTCAGCCCTCAAAGGACTCGCGGTCTGATGGGAGAAGGGGCCGCCCAACAACCCTCATGCACTCAGTGACTCTTCTGGGACAGGCACAGGGCCAGGCGCTGAGCAGTGGACGCAGGGACGTGCTAGCCGGAAGGGGGGACAGGCAGGCGGGCGGCATCCGTGAGCGCGTTCTCCAGGCTACGTACACCTGCTCCCCGAGGACGCACACGGCAGAGGTGAGGGACGGAAGAACGCAGCAGAGGGAAGTGAAAGGTTGGCTGACCGGCTGGGTGGTGAACAAGAGCAGACGGTTGGACAGACCAACGAAGGGATGGACAGGCAGACGGACAGACAGACGGATGGACAGATGGACCAACGAAGGGATGGACAGACAGACGGATGGAGAGCTGGACGGACAGATGGGTAGGTGAATGGTGGACGAGTGAATGTGTGTGTGCGTGGGAAGGTGAATGGGTAAGTGGACGGGGGGTAGATGAAGGGACGGATGAAGGGCCTGAGGACGGAGGGAGGGGGTGGTGGCTGCACGGATGGTACTTGGCAAACTGGACAAGATCATCGCCTTGGACAGGCCAGGCCAGAGCCCCGTCAGAACCTGAGAGGAGCCCGTGTCTCACGCCACCTGGCCGGCGTGAGGGTCCCCACAGAAGGCCAGGGTCCCCCAGCCTTGTCGAGACGCCCTGGCTGCTCTCTCCGCCTCCCCCGCCCCCCATGCACCCTGGCTCGCGTGAGGCAGCACCCACCTCTCTCCGGTGCAGCCGCGGGCTCCGGGGGCTGGCGCACCTCCGGCACCATGAGGGGGTCCTCGCCCTCACAGCAGGACAGCATGACGTGGTTGCAGGGGTAGCCCAGGTTGGGGTTGGACTCGCAGGACAGGCCCTCGGCCCGCAGGCGGAGCCCCAGGCCGCAGCAGTCACAGCATTGCTGGGGAGACAGGCAGCCTCTGCTACCCCCGGCCTGGAGCCCACCGCCCTCCCTGGTCTGTGAGCCCCGAGGGGCCGGGGAGTGAGTGCGTCCGTCCGTCCGTCGTGTCCTGTTTCTTCTGCCCAAGGCGGGGGAGCCACCTGTCTCCACCCCCCGGCCTGGCTCAGAGGGAGCCAACGCCAGTCTTTTGAAATAATCAATAAACAGCCTCCCTGGCAGGAACGACAGAGGAGCCCCGGCCACATCCATCCCCGCACCCCTGTTCGTCAGAGCACTGATTCCGCTCAGGCTAAAGACAGCTCGCTGCAGGGTCCCTGTGGCCAGACAGAGGTCACCGGGAAGCTTCCGGGGGAGCCTTCGGCCGGGGCCGCTTCGACTGGACGCACCTGCCTGGCACATGACCCTCCCTCCTTTCTGGAGCAGACCGGGGGGCTCCGGGGGGCTGCAGTTCTAGCAGCCACGCTGGGTGGCCTTGGAGATGGAAGCTGCACGCTAAATGTGACAGCGAGAAACAGAAGCCAGAGGACACCGTGCAGACGCCCCGGCCCAACTGCTCGCCTCCGAACCCCTCAGCTGGTGAAAGGACTTGGCTGACTGGAGTGATCAGTCCCACCGAGTCCTCTTCCCTGTGTCCACCGTCTCCGCCACGGGACAGCGCAGGTCCTCTGACCAGAAGACTCTCCAGCCTCTTGGTTGCATCTCAGGACTTGCCTGGACCCACAGCACGAGACGGAAGGGGCAGCACACCTCTCTGAGTCTAGACCTCAAGAGACCGTGCACACGGCTGCTCCCCGCGTGGGAGCCCTGCCCGCCACGGACCGAAAAGCCGAGGTGAGCCCGCCACAGGCGGTGAGACCACAGAGCAGAGCAACGACGTCCCAGCTGGCACTTCTCCTAAACCACAAAAACCAGCAGAGCCGTCCGCGGGCAGCAGACACACAGGTCAGCCCCGCCGAGATCAGCCGCGCACGGCCCCGGTCAGCAACCCCGACTCGTGAGATGAGCCGGTCACAGGCCACCCCGTGTGGGCCTGTCACACAGCTGCAGCCGACTCTCCAGGCCTGCCTCACCCGAGGGTGGCCACCGCCACGTGGTCGAGACCCGCCACGTACCGAAGAAACGCTGTTTGCCTCACGACCCTCTAAGAAGACATATGTCATCATCCCCATTTTATAGATGGACAAGCTGAGGCTCAAAAAAGAAACCTGGTCCAGGGTCCAACATACAGACGCAAACGGGGTTCGGAACGTCTCTGTCACCAGCCTTTCCCCTAACAGCAACTGTTTCTAGGAAAAATCAACCCAACAGGACAAAAATGAAAGTAGAAATCATCTCCCAAATGCCACCAGAGGTCCCTGTCCGTTATCCCGGCTTGTGACACTTTAACTCCTCACCCTCCTCTCCCCGAATCGTCTCTTCCAGCAACGCTGCTAGAAACTGCCCCCAGCCCCCATCCGCCCGCCCTCTGCCGCACAGCCAGCTGGTGCCGCTCTCCAGTGTGTCCCCCTTATTCCAATTTTCAGGGTGCGGGTGACCTCTCCAGAGCAAAGACAACATTTCTGAGCCTCCCTTCTACTAGGCGTGGCCACTGGCAAACATGCTGTTCATGGAAGAGGGGGCTCATTGGCCCGGCCGGTGGGGCTCAGTGGCTGAGCGTCGACCCTGCACCAAGAGGTCGCTGGTTCAATTCCCGGTCAGGGCACATGCCCAGGTTGTGGGCTGATCCCCAGTGGGGGGCGTGCAGGAGGCGGTCAGTCGATGCTCTCTGCTCTCTGCCCCCTGACCGCCTGGTGAGATTTCACTCCACCCTGATCACACTATCCGTGGAGAAGAGCCCCCTCAATGAACGGTCCCCACAACTGCAGAAGGGACCCAGATACTGTCCTTCGAAGTTCTCTAACACCTCACTTGGAGCAAACCACCGTCCTTCTGACGGGCAGGGTCCGCCTCCACTCCTGCTCACCGGGCTCCAGCAACACAGGCCAAACACACACCTGCCTCAGGACCTTTGCACTTGCTACTCCTGCTGCCAGAAGCTACTTCCCAGGAAGCCCACACTGCTCCCCATGTCCTCCTCCACGGTCTCACTCAAACAGCCCCTTCTCAGGGACCCAGCTCCAGCCAGGGCTGGGACTCCAGGTCCTCACCCCTCACACGGCTGGTGCTGGTCCTCTCTACACCTCCCCCCCACCATCCCCTCCTGATGCACCACACACGAACACCCGCACCGCCTCTCCGCCTGTCTCCCTGACCGGAGAGGGCGGGGACTCTGCGTGACTCACACCTGCCACCCTCGTGCCTAAAACAGGGCCTGGCGGACACGGTGCTCAGCAGCATTTTGCGGAGGAATAGGTCGCTATAGTAATGGATGATGTCCTCTAACGGAGGAGGAGACCCTGACCCAGGTGTGCGGCCAGCCCCCCAGGGGAGCCGCCCCCCAAGGCTGCAGGTTGGGCTGACCTTGTACAAGGAGACGCCGCAGGTGTCGCTGTCCTCCGGCCCGCAGGCCTCGCCCCCCTTGGCCCCCACGACACCGGCCATGCAGCTCTTCTCCTTCAAGTAGGACGTGCAGCAGTGCTTCTGGGCCGTCCTGCAGGAGGAGCGCCCTCGCCGTGAGTGCCCCCCAACCCCCCCCACCTCCCGGTGACCCTGCAGGAGGAGCGCCCTCCCCGTGAGTGCCCCCCGCCGCCCCCCATCCTCCCGGTGACCCTGCAGGAGGAGCGTCCTCGCCGTGAGTGCCCCCCACCCCCCCCCACCTCCCGGTGACCCTGCAGGAGGAGCGCCCTCGCGTGAGTGCCCCCCACCCCCCCACCTCCCGGTGACCCTGCAGGAGGAGCGCCCTCGCCGTGAGTGCCCCCCCCCCCCCCCCCTCCCGGTGACCCTGCAGGAGGAGCGCCCTCGCGTGAGTGCCCCCCACCCCCCCACCTCCCGGTGACCCTGCAGGAGGAGCGCCCTCGCCGTGAGTGCCCCCCGCCGCCCCCCCGTCCTCCCGGTGACCCTGCAGGAGGAGCGCCCTCGCCGTGAGTGCCCCCCGCCGCCCCCCCGTCCTCCCGGTGACCCTGCAGGAGGAGAGCCCTCGCCGTGAGGGCCCCCCGCCGCCCCCCGTCCTCCCGGTGACCCTGCAAGAGGGCCGCGGCCCCGGCACAGAGATGGAAAACGAGGCTCAGGGAAGGGAAGTCCCCACGAGCAGGTGCGCGGGCAAGGCCAGACCTCCCCCCCCCGCGTCCCACGGGTCTGTGGCCCACGGGTCCCAGCGCTGTGTCCCTGGCCAGTGAGAAAGGGGAACTGGCGCTCCAACCCCCCCACCGCGCCCAGAAAGCCAGAAGGCCCCATCCTGTGCCGGCCTGAAGGGGAGGAGCCCTGGGCCCCTGCAGAGAGCCCCCAGCTGGCACATCGACTGCCTTGTGCACCCGCAGCAGGCCCGTGCGCTCCCCTTGCACCCAGGCCCGGGGCCCGAGGCCAGCGGGTCTGGAGGGGAACGGGCGGCTCGGCTCGCCCCCGCGCACCCACCTGCACACGTCTCCCTCCGCGCCGCTCTCGGGCACCTCCAGGCACTCCTCGTTGTCGATGGCCCACTGCTGCCCGGCCGCGCAGCACGTCTCGATCAGGTCCCTCGTGGAGACTGCGGGCGGCAACACGGGAGAGTCACCACCGTCCCGCGGCCTGCAGCCCCCAGGCTCGGGGTGCGCCCCTGCGGCGATGCTCCGGGGCCCCTCCACACCCCACGGCACACCGGCCCTCGGCTCACAGCTGTGAGCTCCTGAGGAGACAGGCTGCGAGGTGCAGGGGGCCCCCTGGAGGTGGACGCTGGGAGCCCAGCCTGGGGGTGAGGAGCCGGGAGCACAAAGGCTGGGGAGCCACTCACACCCGCATTTCCTGGGGGATCAGAAGCCTCGTGCACCTCCTTCCCTGCACCTGCCCAAACCACCGCGCGCACAAGGACCCCGACCCGACAGGACGAGGCGCAGGCAGGCGACAGCATCGGCAAGGGCGGCGTGCAGCTCGGGTGAGCTCACAGGAGCAAGCTGACGGACAGACTGACCGGGAGGCTGGGGAGGCAGTGCACGGAGGACGCCTTAAAACTCAAAGGCACCCTGGCCAGTTTGGCTCAGCGGTTAGAGCATCGGCCTGCGGTCCGGAGAGACCCGGGTTCGGTTCCCGCTAAGGGCATGTACCTCAGTTGCAGTTTGTCCCCGGCCCTGGTCAGTTGTGCGGGTGGCAGCCCTTTCACATCGATGTTTCTCTCTCTCTCCCTCTCTCCCTCCCACTCTATCTGTACAAAAAATGGAAAAATGTCCTCGGGTGAGGATTAAAAAAAAAAACAAAACTCAAAGGCAAGACCGTCCGCTAAGAAACGGAAGCATCTGACCATCTCAAAACTCCAATGCCCTGTGTGACTAAGGCCTTCATAACAAATAAAAGAGAGAGACGGCTAACAGGTTAGGCGACATCTCTGGAATGTCTGCAGCTGACAAAGAAGTGATACTGGGAAAACATCATAACCTCCTGAAAGTGAACAAGAGCCAAACAGCCCCGAGATACCTTTCACACTGGGAAACTCAGAACAAGCAGTGAGGGCCTTGGTGGGCAATGGGCCCGGCAGCCAGTCTGGGGGAGCCCTGGCACAGCTCACCAAGGACTGTGCCCATCCACTGGGACCTGGCGGCTGCAGCCTGGGTACGCATGCCAGGGGCTCCCCTGCAGCCGCGTGGGCCGTGCACCGGAGCGCTACTGTGGGCGGGCTTGGAGGACGAGACTGCAGACATCTCCCTGTGGGACTCCAGCCACAGACTAGAGGTCCACACAGCGACACAGGTGAACACACATACACACAGCGACACAGACCAGAATGCTGAGGGGAACAAGGAAACCGTGAGGTCTGTCACACAGACTTAAAATATCGCACACAAGCCCTGGCCAGTTTGGCTCAGCGGGTTAGAGCGTCAGCCCGTGGATCAAAGGGTCATGAGTTCTATTCCAGTCAAGAGCACGTACCTGGGTTGCAGGATCGATCCCGTGCAGAAGGCAAACCACTGATGTTTCCCTCTCTGTCCCTCCCTCCCTCCCTCCCTTCCACTCTATCTAAAAATCAATGGAAAAATATCCTCAGGTGAGGATTACAAAACATGTATTGCCCACAAAATAGCAATATACACTTGCAAGAACACATAAAAGCTATCCACAAATTACAGAGAAGAGAGCTGTCGCCCAGGGTGGGGTGGAGGGCCGGCAACAGGAAAAGGAAATAAAAGGGAATAAAATACATAAATAAAACAAGAGAACCTTGCAAAGGTACAAGGTGCTAGAAAATGAGGGGGTACAACTGACCCCACCATGTCCCTCAGATCTGAAAATAAATGACATTCAAAAATAAAGTTTCTCCAGACACCTACACACATCCTGAGGGGCAGCGGGTGTAAAGGGGTAACTCTGAGCCTGATCCACATCTCAGAGCTTTCTGGTGCAGCTGTTTCTGCTCCCCAAAGGCTCTGTCCTTCTCTGTGATGAGGACCCAGTGGCTGCACGGATGCTGAAGCCTACAAGGACCTCTGGAGCATGCCCATCACCTGGCAGGCAGAGGGGCAGACACACCAAGGGATGTCAGGGCAGGTTCGAGGGACAGGGTGAGCTCCCTAGAATCATCAGCTTTATCTGCTGCACAGGCATTTCAAGTCCTTGAACCATTCGCAGTTTCCATCGCCTTCTGTAAAACAGCGAATGTAACAACTTGAAGGCAGCAGAATGAAAAGAGTTCTTGGTCACTGGCGTCGACCGGAAACCAGTCATAAACATCACAATCAACAGTGAAACGTCAGACACCTGCCCCACTGAAGTCTAAAATGTGACAAAAATGCCTACTGACACTGCTACTATTTAACAGTTTCCTAGAGATGCTAGCAAATGCAATAAAGCAAGACATAAAGAGGCAGGAAAAATATCAGAAAGAAAGAGATGATGGTCATTATTTGGAGATGCTATGAGTCCATCTTCTTAGAACATCCAAGTGAATCAAAATTAACACAATATTAAAATGCATATTAACTTATCAGTAGTAGTAGTAATAGTAGAGGAGACTTGACTTAGGGTGGTAAACACACAATATAATATACAGATGATATATTACTGAATTGTATACCTGAAGCCTATATAACTTTATTAACCATGTCACCCCAATAAATTCAATTAACAAAAAAGATAGCAGGGCCCAGTCGGTATGGCTCAGTGGTTGAGCGTCGACCCTGCACCAAAAGGTTGCTGGTTCGATTCCTAGTCAGGGCACATGCCCAGGTTGTGGGCCTGATCCCCAGTGGGGAGCATGCAGGAGGCGGCCCGTCGATGTTCTCTCTCGTCGATGTTTCTATCTCTCTCCCCCTCTCCCTTCCTCTCTCTAAAATCAATAATAAAAAAAAATTAAAAATAAAAATGGGCACACGATCTAATACACATTTTATAAAGAAAACATACAAATGGCAAACCCGATAACATAAAAAGGTGCTCCACATCACCGACCCTCAGGGAAATGCACATCAAAACCACAAGGAGATATCGCCTCCCACCTCTTCCCACCGCTACTATCAAAAAGACAAGCCTTAATGAGCGACGGTGAAGCTGTGGAGAAAAGACAAACCTTGTGCACCTCTGGTAGGAATGTCTGTTGTGACAGCCATCGTGGGAAACAGGACGGACGTGCCTCAGAAAACTGAAGGAACGACCAGCAGTTCCAGTTGTGGGTGAACGGAAACAGGGTCATGGAAAGGTCTGCACCCCTATGCCCTCTGCTACAGTACTTGCAGCCAAGACACGGAACACCAAGGCGCCCACCCACGGGTGAATGGATGGATAAAGACACGTGGCGCATATACGCAGTGAGTTAATATTCCACCACAGGAAGAAGGACACCTGTCCCTGGCGACGGCAGGGATGGACCCAGAGCGCACTGTGCGCAGTGAGGTGAGCCGGACGGAGAGAGACAAGGACGTCGAAGTGGAGCCTCGGGTGGCCAGCCTGGAGGGAGCAGCAGACCGGTGATCACCACCAGGAGACGGCGGGAGGGTGTGGAGACGTGGGTCAAAGAGAACAAACGTCCAGTGATAAGATAAACGAGTTCTGAGCATCTCACGTACAGCACGGTGATTCCAGGGAACAGCGTGGGTTTATACACTTTCTCTTGCCAAGAGAAAAGATCTTCCGTGTTCTCACCACAGGGAAAGAAATGATAACTCTGTAAGGTGACGAAATTGCTACCTAGCCTTCTTAGTCACATATATGTGCGTAGAGACATATCTCTAGATACATATATTACAGAATAAGTCCATTACAGCGCAATGAAATCCACACATGAAAAATACAACCGACCACATCGCAGTGTAAAATACCCATCTGGCAAAAGACAGCACATCCGACCAGCCCTGAGACTCTCTTATCCATTCACCGACTTTTAAACCCCTTAGCCTCTCCCTGGTCAGTTTAGTTCAGTGGTTAGAGTGATGGCCTGGGGACCAATGAGTCGCAGGTTCGATTCCTGTCAAGGGCATGGTCCCCGGCCCTGGTCGGGGTTGTGCAGGAGGCAGCCAGTCGATGTGTCCCTCTCATGTCAATGTTTCTCTCTCTCTCTCTCTTCCTCTCACTCTGTCTGAAGATAAATAGAAAAATATCCTCAGGGGAGGATTTAAAAAAATAAATATACACCGCATAGCATCTGTCCCTATGTGATCCATGAGCTCTCTCTTTCCGTTGTCAGTTTCCCCCTCTGCAGTCCCCGCTCCAAAGTCTGGGGGCTCACGGACCTCGGAGGGCACCTGGTCCAATGAGCACTTGCCGAATGGGTCGGTCCCACGCTGGACAACTGAGAACCTCGGAGAGACGGAGGGTCAGGGCTCACCGAGGGACGTCACACAGACACACCTGGCCAGGACGGCTGCCAGCCAGGGCTCCAGCCTCTGTCAGGGCCACTGAGAGGGACACACACGCCGTGTTGAACCCTCCACGTTCACGGTGGGCTCGATCTCCAGTAGGGGGTGTGCAGGCGGCAGCCGACTGATTACACTCTGGGCGCACGGGAGTCTCGCCTTCGTGTGAATACGTCTGGTGACACAGGGCTCCCTTCAGCCGGGCAGCCTGTCCCTTTCTGCAGAGCTCAGGCTCACGGTGACCTTCCCTTCCCTGGCCTGAGCTCAGCTCCCTCCGCCTCCCCCACACTGCCTCACAGGAGGATGAGGAGACTGCAACAGACCCCGGTCTCCGCCAGGCACCCAGACGGGCCCTCGCAGCCGAAATGAGCGGGTGAGGAGCAGGCATGGCCCAAGGACTCTCCCCTGACAGGTCGGCAGGGAGCCCCACGTCCTGGGCCCAGCTGCCCCGCGCCGCGCAGGCCAGTTGAGACCGACCCTGAAAGTCCTCTCTGCGAAACTGGCCGGTGCCGGTATGAAGGGTGGTGCCACCTCCTGGGCACCGAAAGATGAGGTTCCCCCTCCCCCCCCATCAGAGGCCAGGTCTCACCCTGTGCTTGGCCGACTCCGACCAGTCTCCTGGCCTTTCCCATCCTGGCTCCCTCCTCCTCAAAGGAGCTCAGGGACCACGACCACTTACGCTGGGGGACCACCCACTTGGAGCAGGAGGGAA